GATAAATATTTTCTGAATTCAGACTGTAGACGTAAAATATACACAAAGCGCAAAGCACATGATTCGGGTTATATTTTCGAAAAAGAAGTTAGAGAAGGAAGAAATTTTACGAGTTATTGAAGTTTTCAAGTTACGGAGGTTCGATTGTATTTAATATTATATTCTTTTACTTGAATTATGACTTCAGCCATATAACATGTTACTTATTAATCTCTCGATGCAACTTGCAATTGTAATTCCAATACCAAAGTCCCAGCATCGGCTCATTATCAAAAACTTACAGAAAATTCAACTGTTGATGTAATAAATTTTTCTTTTCTAATTACTGCATCGATTTATTTACTTTTGTTCCCCTAAGATTAACCAGCATACTCATTTTATACAGAAATGTAAATATTGATTTCAATGATGGATTAAATAATGTAAAGTTTCATAATAAATGTGACTTAACACGTTGGATGCTATGGAGGTCACTGGTGATCTCAACCAAATCGAATTACCATAATTCATTCGATTATACGGTGATTATTTGGAAACTTTTCTATATTATAAGTAATACCACCAAATGCAGTAACATTCAACGAGATAAACCTGCAATAATGATAACGTAATTCAATTACATAAGTTGATATCACATTATTTTCATTTTTTATATTTCTGTCGGCAAAATCGTGCGGCTCTCAACGTGTTAAGCATGTGTAACAGTATCATTAGCTCCATTAAACTTTATTGATAATCACTTACTTTTGCTCCGGACTGTATATCCCCCTTATAAATATTCGCCAGAGTAAGTGTATCGATGGTAGTACTTCCTAAACGAAAAAGATGTACGGATCAATCATTGTGTTCCTCTCGCTGGCGGTTCTGAATGTTGTATCTGGACCAATTGGCACGACAGTTGGTAAGTAACAAATTTTTCGGTTTTTCTTATTCTTTTGTCTCCAATATTATGTCACCAATATCATTATAGTTTATCATTTATTATTGGCCAGTTATTTTTTATTATTAGATATTTATTATTGTATGTCAATATTACTTCGGCATTGATCATTTTGAAGAACATTCGAATGAAGTTTTTTATTGACAAACAAGTTCAGCTTCAAACATTTAGTACACACGACAATTAAGATTTTGATTATACGTAATGAAATATTCAGATGTTATTCTTCTTCAACTAAAATAGATATAAATTACTTAAATGATAATTACCGTGGATTTATCGTGATGACACAACTCAATTGGTGAGGCTATACAGAAAGCATGCTGCGAAAAATTGATAATTACTGTTACGCCAGTACGATGACATGGTTAACATTCAAGAAGATAATTTACCACGGCCGTGAATTATCTGCACGATTCGATCTTTCTACGGAAATCATTATTTCAGTTGACGCGTTCGAATCGCTTGCCGCGATGTTTGTCACGTATTGGTAATTGCAAGAAAACTGTGTACTTGAAATAGAAAAATGCTTTCCGGTATGGAACAGTCTCACCTGTTGCCATAATAAATTGTTCAAAGAATTAGATTAAATTTTCGGACAGCATACGTAAAAATATAATTTAAAAACACTGGAAATGTATTAAAGTTACTTTATTATTGTTTCAGTGTTATTTTCATCAGTATCTGAATCTCACTAGTTAGGTTTAGAGAAATTAGATTGCTTCACAACAATGATGTATTAATAATTAATAATTTAGGGCGAATAGCTAATGATGATTAATAACTTAAAACTTCGTGAAGCAAATATTGCTTGCCATAAAGTATTCTCTATTACCAAAATCATTTTTATATTTTTCATACAGCTTCTCGAAACAGTTCTCAATATAAATTACCTAACATTTAAACTTCTTACATCGATCATGAAACTTCCTTGTACCTTTCAATCGAGAAAAACAGTTTAACGGAAATTTTATATAATTATGAAAGTATAAAGTATCAACGAATATTGATTGACCATTATGTTGTACACAGATCCTCCAAATATAATAACGAGGGCACAATGGGGCGCCAGATCACCGAAACAACCAATACCTAATCTTAAAATTAACCCTGCCCCGTACGTAGTAATTCACCACTCTGATACTAATAACTGCCAGACGGAGGCGGTTTGTAAAGCTAGAGTGAAGAGTTTCCAGGTAAATAATTTAAAGAGACGATTTGTCATTTCTTCGTCATGCAGATATTTGATATAAGTCAATAAATGAAAGTAGAGGTTGAAATTGATTTTATATACAAGTCTACATTTTAATGCATGTTTCTATTGATATTCTAGCCTTTCAAATGCATAAATAAATTAGAATTTATACTTAGTGTTTATACACTAGTATTTGTAGTAGATGTACTATATAATTAATTATATGTAATATTATAATAATAATGATTATTTCGTAATTTTACAGAACTATCATATGGATGCGAATGAATGGCGCGATATAGGTTACAACTTCCTAGTTGGAGAGGATGGAAACGTGTATGAAGGAAGAGGCTGGGGTAAACATGGCGCCCATTCACCGCCTTATAATTCTAGAAGCATGGGAATCTGTATAATTGGCAATTTTACACGTAAGTTTAGAAACAGCATTGTTTCAATGACGCTTCTCCTGTAATCGTAAAACAGAATGCCCGAACACATTTTCTATTTTAAAATATTGCAGTTGTGCGTTTCGTTTATCGATATTCTTGCATTTTGGAAAAAAGATATTTCCCTGATACAGTTTTTTCATTCAAATATACGACCGATTGAGATGTAAACTGAAACTCTTCGAAAATGTGACTTAACCGTAATTGATTTATAATTTATTTTATGATCGCCTTTATTATCATTAATTATCAATCTATATGAACAGAAAATTAGCATGGACACTATTGTTGGTTATTATAAGAATGTCAATGCGATTTCAACAAGATAATATGCTGTACAAGTTATTTTAAATTATAAACCTGTAAATTATTACAGTTTCCCAGCCGAATGCGGCAGCGATAACTACAGTCCAGAAATTAATAGATTACGGAGTGTCCATCGGAAAAATACAGGGAAACTACACATTGTACGGTCATCGGCAAACTACGAGCACAAAATGTCCTGGAGACAGCTTATACAACCTGATTCAAAGTTGGCCACATTGGTCATCAAAGAAATAAACTTGTATTGTGATAATATTACATTATATTATATTGTATTATTTTATATTATATCATATTATTAATTTAACTCTTGTATCATATTATATAATTGTATCAAGTGTTCTCAAATAAATGTACATCTTTCTTAATTCTATATTTTACGTTATTGCTTCTTACTTTTCATACGTAAAGTGTCACGATACCATTCACAGAATTATCGTACGTGTCCTCTTCAGTTCTTACGCAAATGTCCACGTGTGAAAAGTCTGGTTTCCCTTGAACGTCATCGTAGCGTGTTCTGTCTCTAGCCTGATAATCAAAATTTTCATTATTAAATAAGTGTACGAAATGATAAAGTAATGTTTACAAGGTTTATCTCTTTCTGTGCATTCTAATATTCCAGAAGCACTACTTGGCGATTTTCTTTCGTAGCACTTGTGACTCATATTGCAATTTTTGAGAAATTTAATTTTAGATAAAGAACAGTAAACTTTCAGCTTAGAAACTATTTGAAGTGACAGGAATTATTTATGCGTTTCTTATAAAAGCGAGAAAGACTTATTCCAAGATACTTTTATAATGTTAAAAATAATGCAATAAGACAATGGTACCTGAAACGGAATTTGGCGACCGAATTTTTCATTTAACTCTGGTATGCACACTTTTGTCCCGTAAGGAATACCTGAATCTAAATCCATTGATACAGTAACAAATTCCACGCGGCCGTCGAGGAAATCCTGTAATTAGCATGAGTGATGTCTACGTCGCGACATATAAAGAAACCAATTTAAATCTAAATAATTATAAATAAAATCGGATTGAAAATAAAATCATAAAAAAGTCAGTCCTTAATTTAGAATATTTTTGCATCCGAATTCAATCGAAAACGAATTTTAAACGAACCTGTAAAGTTCTCAGTTTTTTCATTTTAACATCCAAATGATCGAACTCGTCGTCACTGCTGAAATCAGGATAATAGGCAGTCATTGTCACATTATGGTAAGCACGACCGCTACAATTGAAGTCTGACCGATTGAGACTTCTTTCTAAAATTAATCAATGACATCAAGATTCAAACCGAATGAAAACAGAATCAGAAATACGAAGAGTATCGTTTGTTATTTACCACTTGCCAGAGTTGTTAATACGACACATTTAATTATCAGCACGATTAATAACCGTCTGTCCATGTCTACAACCATGAATTTCCACTTTGCACTGTAATAAAGACGACGAAGGAGTAACATCGAAATTCAATCGATTAGTGTTGCAATTTTTAAGGCGTAACGGGCCTGCTGATCTCAGCATACCGGGCACTGGAATTTGTCAATTAATCAATGCTTCGAAGAAAAATGTTGCATATCCTGGAACGATGACAAATTACGTTCTTACAATATTGCACATGAATCATCTGTATAAATGAATATTAATCGGTTGGAACACAAATTGGTAACTACTTGTAATCAATCTACTGCCTCCTCTTATTCAATTTATTATTTTTCAAATGTTATTACTAGAAGCATTTAATCTTGAGTGCACCTGTTGCAATGAGTATACAATTTTACTTCGCTGAAATGATTAACAATTATGTAATTAGAATTTTGTGTTTTTATCTAATATAAATGGTGTACAATCATAACGTTTCAATCTTTTTGATACATATTAAAATATTAATTTTTATTAATATACCTTACAATTAATTATTATTATAATTAATATATTATATTTATAAATATTACTTCATTAATATATCTATCTTATATAAAATATTAATATTTTAATATACCTTAACAAGATTGAAATATTACAATAATATATCAGTGACTCTAACAATTATGAATATTAATTATGAATATGAAATATTGATGAATATTAAGTAGATTATCAGTATTTCATTTTGTAATTCGACGAGTAACCACCCTTTCAACCTACCATTCATCTCCTTGAATGTAAAGTCGCGTTAACTATGTACTTCATTCCAACCCTAACATTGTACGGACTGGTGCATTATGCTTTTCTTAAATAATAGAAACCATGGTTGTTCGGGACACGTGGAAAACTGCACGACCTCAGTCGACAGAAAGACGTCGTAGGTTTTGTATGTTATACGTGAATGTATTTTTTTAAGACGATTTTAATCATCAAACGCGGGGCTAACAATAACGGATCAAGGATTATGTGTCTTTCAAGAATAGTGACGTAATATGGAGGATAAATATACGGTTTGTTAATTTACAATATTAATTACAAGCACTGTACCTTAAGAACTTAAGGTCCTTCTAATATTCACTAATTAAAAACATTCTTTCTACACTGCCTTCTGGTATGAAGTTTATTTAATGCTTTGTACGTTGATAGAAATTGTTTATTCCACTCTAATGTCCATTACAGCCTGTCTCCTTATTTCATAATTAATTCTCCATTAAATATCAATGACAAACTATAGTTAAACAATTATTCAAAATCATTACCATTTCGTTATTATTGAATTCGAAATTTTACAAAGCCGTTGTGTGACGACATATTGTTTAGTCATATTGTAACTTTTAAAGAAGCATTTAAGAAGAGAAAAGGAAAATAGAAAATATGGTACTTTGTTTTTTGAATATTTTGCACAAGGTGTCCTTAATATTTCACGTGAAACAAGACTCTCGCCAGTTGTACTACGAAATGTAAATGTAAACGATTAAAATATAGATAATTAATCAAATAAATTACGTATTGAGAAATCAGCGACTGAAATGAATGATACATCGATTTTGTAATGACCAATTAATCTGTCAACCACTAAATCACTTCGATAGCGAGTATTTAACTCGAGTATTCCCCGACGATTGTTTAAATTATTGGACAAATCCCAGTAGACGATTCGACGTAAATCGTCGATCTGTCATTGCTCCGACGTCGATTCGATCGAGCCAAGTTGGTTCTGAAATATGCGAAACAGCTGAGGTAACGGAACGAATGGCCAGGGACATCGCGAACCAAAAATAAATGAGAATAATTGCCGTGGCATATTTAAAGCTAATGAATAACGAAAATGAATAAAAAACGTTTCATGGATTCCCCTTGTCAGCAAGATGAATATTCATGTGCGATAAGCGTTTGTAAACCAAGGAAAGTATACATATATTTAAATGTGAAAATGTCTATTTAATTATCAAGCGTTCAAAATGTCGCTCTGCATTTCTTTGATAAGCTTTCCTCGACACTTTTCCCGCTATACAGAACTACCTGCAGTTTCATTCGATTATTTAATACTAGCCGCACTGGAATTTTTCCGACCATCACGTAACTGGTTAGAAAATAAAGGTAAACAAGTTAGATGACAAATCTTTCCTAGTGGGAACAGAAACAAAAATTAAAAAAAGGATTAATCGGACAATATAATAATTAATATAAACTAAACAAGGGAAACGCAGAATTTTAAACTCACTTGATCAGTTCCAAATACGGTTAGTATTAATTAATACTTGCCCATTAACAGTTGAACTGCCTATAATACTAATTTTAAATATTCATTCCTTAAACGATACATTTATTTTAATAATAAACTGAAATGAATAGTTACTTCACATTTGAAGTAAACCATCAGTTTTATTTAATACCATTTCATTTATATACCGTTTAAATTATTTAATAGAAAAGTAATAGAACGTCGGTTCCGTGTAATACTATTTCAAGGACAATGTGTGATGTATTTGCATTTTGTGTCACAAGCCATTCCTGTCGGACAACATTAGCGAAAACGTTGCGCAACGCACTTCCTTAACTTCCGTTTTTGGAATTAACATACAATTAATTTCCTTCATTGCGCGCAAATAGTTCGATCCTCGGGGGGTTCACCTAAAGAAGGTCCACGTGGCTGGCCTCGCGCGTGCTACTCAGATCGAGAGAAGAAGAAAGAAAGAGAGAGAGAGAGAGAGAAACGGGGATTCAAGGATTAACCATGTTTTCATAGCCTTTCTGTGATTCCTCTAGAATCACAGATTTATCACGCGTTATGTGTATTTTAACATCGTGTACTTGATTCTCTGTTTATTATATTGTCGATGTTGTAGAAACGATAATCCCACTGTACGTATATTCGTATTTTTTTAATTGAATTCCCTTTCAAACTGAATTTTATTCGTTGCACGCGGTATTACAGTTTGAATTGAATTTTTTACGTTTGATAACAGTGGTGGACATTTATCTCAAATCTTGATGCTTTTAAATAGGTAAATACGCATGACGTGCACTTTCAAATGTTCTCATAGTCATCATTATTATAGAATCATTATTTGCAGTGAATTTCATAGTTTCTCCTTCGAAATCTTTGTTTCTGTTACAAGATATATCAATTTAAAGGTAGTTCTGCTGGTTTTTGCAGAATTAAAGACACTCTACAGAATTGAAGAACGAAATTGTAAAGAAGAAATTCTCTAGCTTTGTAATTTACCGCAGAAAATAAATTCATGTCATTTTTCAATAAAAAGTCGATCAATATTCTTTCTCAACTTATTTTGAAACATGATGCTTTTATTTTTGCACACTATAAACCACGTTTTCCAAACATATTTTTACTTCGTGTATCAGGTAAATTCAACATACCATATCGTTTGCAAAATTTTTATTAAATATTATTATTTCAATCCTAAATTTCAGTAAAAAAACTTCTTTTAACGAAACAAATATATTATTTTAAATAAGTTCATACCATCCACAATTTACTAATATGTAATCAAATTACGTTTCACCCAACTCTAGTCGATAAAAACGATCCTCCTTTCAATTAACCCTTTGCACTCGAGAGACGACCCATAGTTATTTAGTTTGATATAAAGAAATTATGAAATTATAGGATTTAACATCAAATGAGATATAAGACAATACAATTACACTGGAAATATTGAAATAAAATAGTTCTACGTTTTCATAAAATGTCTTCTATGGTTCTACATTTACATGAAAAATATCTAAATGCCATTCAGATTTACCGATTAAAAATTTTCATCAAGTTTATTGTGTCACATATTTGTGACGGCCGCAATCCTATATTTTCTGTAAAGAAAATGAAATTAATCCTATATTTATATTATAAATTACGAAATTATATTTAGGGATTCAATGACTTCAGCTTCATCTGTTTCAATAATTTGTTTAGAAGATTTATTGGTTCGAATAAAATATTAGAATTGAGAGTATCGCCACTAAAACAAACGTCGGTAGCGAACGTGTTAATAAAATAAATTACGCACACAATAACGTCACAAACGTTCGAGCTTCCAGTACGAAACTTTGGTATCGATCATCCGTGACGTTGATCCTTTCTTCCGCCCTCCTACGGCGAACGATCGATTTTGTTTGTTTGCGCGGGCATAAAGGAAAAAAATGACGCCCTCGCTTCCTCATTCTTTTCGCAATGTTCAGTTCCGATGACCCGGCGGCAGGGTCTATGGAAAAAGAGCACGTAGGTGGCGTCGCGACGCCGCGCGTCGGCTTCATTCGACGCGGGACGCTTCTTCGTGCCGTGCACCACCGTCGCACGCCGGACACCACCGCGATTTGTTCTCGTTTCGCGTCTCGCTACGATGCGTATTTTCCATTCTACACGTTCCGCCGCGCTCAGAGTCATGATAAGAGCACTGTGAACTGAAATCGATCAGGTAACTCCGCGTTGCGAGGATAATTCCAATGATCGAGATAAGATCGCTCGGACGCACGATGCACATGGTTTGTCCTTTGGTTTGAACCCGTTCACTGTGGAATTTAGTTTGTTTTCAATTTATTAACACACTGCGTTAAACGAGAAGTCGTTTTCATTTAAATAGCTGCCTTTGTCACTTTGCTGACCACCACGCCATTTAAAAAGATATTAAATTTTATTAGAACTGATTATTTGTTTCACCTGTTCACTGTGGAAATTTAGTTTGGAAAATCTCTCGTTTTGCACGCAATAAAATGAAAAAATGAAATGCGTATTCGTTAAACGCAGGGCGAATGCACCTAGGATATATTTTAATGAAGAAATAAAGTAAATCGAAGAGGAATTATATGTTTAGCTGAAAAATTTCAAGCTTTAAGGTGACGCGTAGTACTCGTCAAGCGCAGTTAACTGGTTAAGTGTACTTTTATGCTTGGATATCACTGCGATGATTTTGATATTTGTGTTTTTCATATGTTCACGTTTATTTTTATTTATTTGTTTGTTTGTTGTTATGGGTGGATGCACTGTGATATAGAGAAAGAGGAAGCATAAGGAATTGTTGAAGGAAAATGCAAAATTATTTAGATGCGATTGAGGTTTAACCGATGAAAGGAAGAGAGTTGATGTTTTATTTGAATTATTAATGAGTTGCATGAAAATTGGAATATTAGCTCTTCGGTTTATGATTGTTAATGAGATTTGTGGTGGAAGTTTTGGATTCATTCTAGAAAATACGAATATCGTTGTTAATGGACGAAATGTAGTATGATTTTGTTATCGATATTCAATGACTAGAGAGAATGAACATCAATAAAATTAGAAATCCTGTTTTACATTCAATTTCATTGATTTTAAATAATTCTGTACCGAGAAATTTATTATTCGGTAACATCGAAACAAAGTTATAAACATTACGATTCTGTAATTAACAATATTTTCCACTTATTTCATGTCGCAATTAAGAATGTTCTACCACAATGCTTTAAATACTTAAGAAAGTTGCAGTAGATCAACGTAGAAATTTGTTAGAATTAATCGGAATATCAGTGGTTCGAATTGTGAACTTTAAACTTTGCGAAAAGCACAATAGAATAATTCTTACCACCGATTTTATCGTTACCGGCTTTCATTTAATAACTATATTTGCCACACCCATTTGTCTTTTCTTCTTTGATAACATTCATCGTGTCATGAATGATATATCACGATCAGCGATACCAGGAAACAGCGTCGGTATCATGATTATGCATTAAGAAATTTAAAACAATGTTTACCTACATCGTAGAATTTGCATTTGATCTCCCATCAATTGAAAATCAATTAATATACCGAGCAATTTATTACTGATACACCTACGATAACCATTAATTAGAGAGTTCTACATTCGTCGAAGTTACCGAGTCAATATTCCCTGGTATTTCCCTCGACTTATCAGACGAGTTTCATCTAGAGTGCAATGGAAACCATACTTTAAGTAATTTCAACGACTATCACTTTCCTCATAGATAGTAGACCGAATTTTCCTGATAAAGAAGCATAACAATTCGATCCGCTGTTAGCCACGCAAACGCAAGTACGTCATGTTGCAAACTATTTCCATCAATTAGGACGCCTGCTGCGAAAATAAAAAATCGATGCACTTTTGAGTTAGCGTCGAGAAAGAATTATTAATATACTGTGCAAGTAATGTCAGAATATTATTCGAAAAAGATCATGACAATAGAAAATGTTTTTTCTTTCTAATAAACGTTATAAACTGTAGTACTTCGGATATTTTATACATTTCTTCGTGTTCTGTAATTTTGAAATTCCATATTTTCCATATAAAAGTAAAATTGTCTAATCTAATGTTCGCTATAAAGTTTCGAATAAAATACGTGTATGTTTGATACCGTTTTCTTACGCAAATTTCGCGACGTAAATAAGGTAAGTACGAGGTTCATCGTGATATACCGCCGCTTATGCTTGTGACGTTGTTTGTGTTACATTTGGCTTCACACGCGACCCACAAACTAGGGGGATTCCCTGCATGTTTTTGCAAGAGGAAAAAGTGAAGTCCCAGTAAAATCGCGGCGATCAGTCGGCTCGGTGAATCACTGGCGCTTGTTGATGTATTTAAACTATTCGCATGATCGTTCGCATCGATTAACACATTTTTTTATAATTACAAAAACAATCGGAAATGTCTATTCGATGTTAACATGAATATCAAGAATATAAAACACACGGTTGTTTATGTAAACAAGACGCGAGTGAATTCTAAACATGACGGTGTTGTGTAATCTTTTTTTTTACGTTGCTAATGATACGGGTACTATTAATATACTTACGAACAAATTTGTTACTAAGTATATAGATTTATAAATAACGTTAATAACTATTATTATATAAATGTTTGTTCTCAATTATTTTATGCTTCCTTTCGTTAATAATTAATCTATATAAATATTCTGATGTTCGAAGCAATTTCAATTGTTTCTAATAATAAATAATAGACTCGTATTGAATTCGAGTGGTATATTAAACATATAAAAATACGACTTATACTTGAACTCATATTGACATAACGAGTTAATCATTTTTATTCAGTCAAATGATAAGAATTTATTGAGAATTACTTAAGGTAGTTTATTTTTTGGTACCCACAGACGCAGATGAACCCGGCAACCTTAAAATCGTGGCTGCAACGCGGTGAATTCGAGAAGCTACAGCATGTCGTCCTCGAAGGTCGCGGTGCTCGCCTGTTAGGTGAACAATCGCCGGATCTCAGAACTCGTGTCTTCCTGAAAGGACTCCCGAATTACTTGGTCAGTGAAATAGGAACAATTTATTGCTGTGTAATCGTCACGTTAAATTCCATTCTTGAAATACAAGTGTCGATTCGTTCTTCAGACAAAAATCTCTCAAGTGCACGACGCAGTTTCCCGCGGTTCTCTAGCTGAAACGCAAAGGTTCATCTTAGAGGAACCCAAGAAGAAATTGGCAATCGCTAAGGATTCAACTGGCAAGTCCTTGCTTCAAAAAGCGGTCTACTACGACCAACAGGACATCGTCGAGTGGCTGGTGAATAATTATCCCAACATTGTGCATCAGAGAGATAGGGTAAGTCAATTCATAAATGATTGCATATTAATTAAATCTCTAATAGAAAATTCATATACGTTACTGATAGTTTGATACTTATAGACAGACTAATTATATTATTGCCATTATAAATGCTAAAGACATCATTGTCATAGACACAGTAACACAATTTCCTGGATTACCTGTATATAATAACACACTACTGCGCGATATGAATAAATAAAATGATATACTTACCGACAATGCGTTTATCTTGCCGGTGATCACTGGTGGTCATAAAATTTACGATATAGTCAAATAAAAATTACTGAATAGAAAGAACCATTTAATATTATTATCCAAACCAAGATACAATAATCGATTTGGAAATTTGTATTTTAAACATCTAATGAACTAATAAATCAGTTTACGTATAAGCCCAAAGTTAAGTAATATAAAATTCATTTTAAAATTAAGTTGAAAATTTACATCTAAATCATTTGAAATTCTTTTAAAAATTAAATTATTTAGAATTAATTTTATAATCGAGTCATAGCAAATTAAATTCCGAAATAGATAATTGTATGTTAATCCTAATATTAAGTACTTGGAAGTTAACTTCGAGGTGCCAGAAAGAAATGCAATGATTCCATGTTAGATCCGATGAGCGCAGCAGAGCGAAACGAATCGCGTTCCCGTTTAACTCCACGCGAAGTGGTAACCCCGTTACACGTGACACGAATTAACCTAAAAAAGAAAGAGGACAAAGAAATGGTCCTACGATAAACCGATCGCGATTTTCGCGAAACCGTTCCACCGTCTTCCGTCCGCGCTGGATCGTTCGAATCGTTGCCGTTATGGGAATGTCGTGACGAAGGCGTGTGCGCTTCTCGCTAAATCATCCCCCCAGCCGTTTCCTGAATAATCGAAAAGCCATTTTTCCTAACGACGACGGTCGCCTTTCGCCGCATCGCGTGACCCGGCTAATAACGAAGTGTAAACCACCTGTTCTTCCCTGCAGTCATCCGAGTTTCGTGCCCGTGTCCGGGCGCACGCAGCCAGCGCCCGCGGACACGTTAAAGGGTGCTCACTCGCCCCCCATTCCCACCCCCCGATCTCAATTCGCCGGACTATACATTCGCCATTCAACTGTCGTCGATATCGTTCACGCCGCTGCTTCCCTCTAAACATTCACTCCACGATCGACACGGTTTTTGCCACCCCTGACCGACGACGCGACGCGACGCGACGCGACGCTACGTTTCGATGATAACGATAGATTGAAAGAAATATTCGTGGCAAGTAGTTACGCGACATGTTCTTTCGGGTACTACGATTGGGGGATGGTTTCGTTGAAGAGTTTTGAAATAATTTTGTTACCAGGGGATGCTTTTGTTTTAGAACTTTGGGACAATTTTCTGATTAGATGCTTTTGCTTTTTGGATTTTGGAATAAGCGATTAGAGGATGTTTTTGTTCTTGAATTTTAGAATAATTTTATAGAGATGAGTTGAAGGGATTGATCGAAGGGTCTTAGAGTTTTGGGCTAAGGGATGATATTTTGATTATTGTATGATATATTATTGTTATTGTAGTTTTGAATTTTATTTTTGTTGTTTTGTTATGTAATAGTATAGTCGAAGGAATATTAACTTCATTTAATTGTTTCAGATTGAGAACTGTCTACTAATTATTTTCTTTTTATTTTATATCGATGCAGGGCATTGATTACCTACTTGTAACATTCATATGTATTTTATATATTTCATGTATAGTGATTGAATTTGAATTTCATCTACTATTAAAATTAAGTTTGAGAATATTAGAATATGGTATAATGAATTTGTAATTTTTGCTTGTGTCTAGGAAGGCAGAACAGCGTTGCATTACTGTGCAGCCTGCAAGGATCCGGAAGCAATTTGGGATGTCCTCGTAGAAGCCGGTTGTGACGCGAGCATCTGCGACAAAAAGGGCAATCCGGCAGCTTATTACCTGGAATACAGTTCGGAGATTGAGTTACCAGAATCGGAGAACATGTATCGCCGAAAAGCAAGCAGCGCCAAGGAGCGTGAGTGACTTTCACCTAACATATGTATCACTATTGCGGATGAATCAGTGGATCTCACAAATTAGTATATTTCGCAGTAACAGTATAAATAAAAATTAATTTATTAATCGCTCATAAAATTTAGGAATGCACTTTACTAATCGCAAGACACTAATTGTAACGAGGAGAAAAAGTATTGACGATTATAATTGATTAAAACAGACAACTGTATTATAAATAAGCCTGTAAAATTTTGCTTCGTTTTTATTGAAGTTTCTGCTGAAAGTTCTAGTGGAGTAGTTTGAGGTTTCACTCAGGAAAATATATGGACTCAGGTTCATCCAGAGACAGGTAAATTCATTTAAATAAAGATTTTCGAATAGGAGAGTGTATATGAATAATTTATAATTTATTTTTTGTTGAATATCTTTAAGAATTTTGAGTATAGAGGAAAACAATGTTAATGTAATAATGATTTGAGGGAAAACATAAGGAACAAAATCCACAGACATTGGTGGTAATGTAATATTTAGCGTTGGTTTATAATTTCACAATACAGTTCTAAATATAACCGTTCTTGTAAAGTTTTATAACAACTTCTTAGAAGGTCAAGCGTTCAAAGAATAGTCACTCTGAAGTTGATAGATTATGTTCAGTGTAATTTACACCGTTCGAATCAAACGTAAGTGAAGATTGTACGTGATTCACTTTCACTTTGTTTCAATGTGATATCGCGTAACGCGAATAATGATCGAAGATTTGATAAAGCTTAATCATCTACTACTGTTAACCGGATCGATTAAAAGGGACTCGATAAATGGATTCTCGACAACCTTGCAGAAAGCTACATTTCGTTCATTTCCTGCTTTACACTGGCGTACAATGCTGAACAAAAGTATTTGTGCAATTTAGACAATTATAACGAAAGCAGTTTTAACCGTATAATAAACGAATAGCTTTATTCCAGTGAATTGTTTGTGAAGTTTAAATTAATAATTAATTCAATATAGGAAATACGGAAATATCAAATATATATTCTATAGTAATCCCCTAATTATTCATTAATTAATTTAAATATAAGTTTGTAACAGCTGGTTCACGGTATGCTGAAAGAGAAATCAAACTTTAATTTGAAGTTTAAAGTACCAAGTCAACAGCAGGCACGAAAGTATATTATTTGATTTTGATTATTGTATATATTTATTTATAAATATAACAGTGTGTAAATATGTTCTATTCAAAATTTTGTGTTGTCATGAAGTTTTGTTACAACTCGTTCGCACATCATGGAATATAGACGTTGTTATTATATATATTTTTTATGTAGAACGTTAATGCGAATATATAATGTTATATAATATTATACGTCTTACCGTACGAATGCTTCTGTCTGCCATTATAGATTCCTTGACTTATACCCTACGGAATCCAGTAGTAATAACCGGTCGGAATCAATAGAACTTAAGTTTGTAAGGCAAGGAAAACTGCGGCGATCGATAGGATGTCATGTGTTCACCGATCGAGTGGGGAATTATTAAGGAACACTTGAAAACTATAATTTTTTTAAAGTTCCATTGACCTTTTTAACGACATAAAACCAGCGTTCCCCTGGCATGACTCCAAACAACCTTCCTAACTGTTTGAATAATTTATTTAAAAATTAGCTCTGTTTACAAAGTTACCGATAAGCAAACTTTGATAAACTAAAAGTTCTCAATGAAATACGTGACAATCCGCTTTTTTCCATATTTTTTCAACGTTCAAAAATCTTGACTAAACAGTTTCTTTTTTTAGTTTTCTGTTTTAACGGTGATTGAGAAAAATGATTGGAAACTATAATCATTCGCGAAAATGGCACGGCACTAATGGTTGAAGCGTAATATTTCAATTTTCGACAGAGAATTGGAAGTCACTGTTGGTCATAAAATTTGCATTTCGCTAGATAATCCACTGCCTATTTCCTGGATGTTCTTATAACGCTTTTCTGTTTTCCATTTAAAGTTGAATGTGCAGGCATTCTAAGGAAACGGCGAATAATAATTCTACAAAGTTGAAGGCGAGTTTACGTAGTCAATCAATGACGGTCATGCTATGCACTTGCATTAGAACAATGAAAAATATTACACGTAACTTCGCTGATGTTTGAAGTGATCAGCTTTTACATCCTGTTCCCTTATCTTGAGATTTACTTTATTTATTTATGTAATAAATCCTGTTGCAACACATGGTATATGTATTTTTTAAAATATGAAACATAACAATTAAAGTTTAAACCAACGTTGTATGCAACAATTTTTACTAATATCATATTTCCATTTTTCTTTCAATTCAAAGATAGCTTTTCATATGGTAAAACAAGTTAAATATTTAAAAATGTTTATAACTTATTTTATATGTAGACAATTACTTGTATTTCTTTCGTTTAATTTTTTCAGTGAATTGTTTTAAACCCACTTTCTACCGTCAACATGTTTTACATTTTTACTATTCGTAACATTACAAGTGATCTGTAGATTTTTATGCATTTATAGGGAATTTGAAAATGAAAAAATGCACAAGATGCACTGAACTTCGAAAGATATATGAAATATGTAAAACGTAGTGTATTGTATTAATCCATTAAGAAACACCATTTTCTATCATTTTCTATCATTTTCCAATTATATTCGACAAAGTTTGAATTCACATATAAATTCGTAGTTCAATCGTAAACGTCATACCATTACCAGAACTTCCTGAATGAATCGGACAATTCAAACGAAAGTCAAAGCTAGTTGACAAACTAACGACCTAACATGATTATTCTTTGAATATGGTCAAGTTAAAATGTCAGGCAATTCGTCGAAAAGCAAATTGTCATTCGGGCAGGCGTACGGCCATCGAATTATTGAAAGTTGTAGAAGTTTCGTTAAATTGACAGACCTCGAAGCGGCATTAAATTGTCATAAGCGAACGGCGTTTTACGTGGCACACGGAGTCAGCGTGCACCGACTATAGTGTATACACCGGCATTTCCGCCTACATTGATTGATCTATTTACCAAGAAAGCACGACGATGTAAACGCCTGGACGTTTCGACGTGTCGGTGATGTGACGGGGTCCGTGCACCCGTTCTGCCTCTAAAAAATTTATTAATCCACCCGTCGAACACGCAATCCGCGGCGAAATGAATAAAACGGTTACGTGCTTTGACTCGCGCGCGACTCTTTGCGTTCACAGTCATGTAACATCCGTAAAGCACGCATTTTCCGCTGTCAATTATTTACCACGCAGGATTGTTCTACGATAATCCGATTGAAAGTATATTTTCCCGCAATGCAAATGATTAAAATCATTTTTATTTAATAAACATTGTATTACACAGAATATAGAAGATAGATTTAGGTAATGTTTATATAGATAATTAAATTATATATACTGAGTATTAATAATGTAAAGGGGTGAGGTCATTGTATTCTCTTAGGAAGAAATGAATATTTAGATATTCATTAGTAATACAGAAAATTTTGAATATCTGTACTTGGAAGATTCTTGTGAGTGTGTCTAATCGAAGATGTTTTGATCGTTTGATTTCCTGGATGACGATTCATTCGAGTTGTGTAAAAGTTAGCAAGTGACTTTTATGTCCCTTTGTTAATCGATTGTGAAAGGTTTTGAGAAAATGCTGATTTTCCTGCGCGGATCGATGTGTTTTCGTTTCTCCGGAACGAAAGCAGTGTTCAGCGGAAAATCGATATTTACTGGTGGAAGGATTTCTCCGAGTGTCTAAAATATTTATTACATTGCTCTAACACGCGATACACGGTTACAAATCTGGGCGCCGTTAAATTTTTAACAAAGTCGATCATACCTTAAGAAAAGCAGGCCACGTCATTATACTTAGTTTATGAATAATATTGTGTAACCCGGCTCATTTAAATGACTACATAAATAATTCATTCGGATCGTCAATAAAATATTATATAGACGGGCTTATACATTTTTAATCGTTCTTCTTAAATATTTACTTTTTCTACGAGGTTATAGTCGATACCTATAGAATAGGTGGATTGAGAAATTAATAATCGCACACTTTGCTTAATGAAATTGTTGAACATCACTTTCCACGAAACTGTTATCGATCAAACATTAGTTGTATGGAAATAAGCGTATAAAGGAACATTGTCCCCGGAAGATATTGATCTGCGTTAAATATTTGAAAAACTAGTAATTCTGAAATAAATTATTTCTTTCATAGCACTGGATGTCAAACCTTCTAATATTAGAATATGGATCCACAACCGAGACATAGGAAAATTACAACAGGTTCTATGGGAAGGACATGGAAACAAATTGCGCAGGGAGACCAGCAACAATCCGCGCGTGAAAAGGTTTTTAGAAGCTGTACCGTTCATAATGGTTCGTAGTTTTATTAAAATTTTGAATTATTCTTTCGAAGCTATATTAATTACTTATAATTTCCTAAAAATAAATATGAAGCTGACCTCCGGAACTATTGAATAAATTCTCAAACACGACTACTTAAATATTCAAGAAAATACTTTAGTACCTTCATTGTTCCACTTATTTTAATAATGCATTAAATTACGCGAGTTCAAGAATTACGTTTAGAATGTGTAATACTAAAAATATATAATAAAAAGCAAAGTATGTACTACTTTCTCGAACAGTCTTCGATCAATACAATTTCTATATTATTTTTTGTAGGGCAGTGTGAAAGATATCCACTCAGCCACAATACAAAACGATTTAGAGGAATTTAGGAAGAAAATAGACTCTACCTCGCCCATCATTCTCTGTAGCAAGGATTCTAATGGTTTAAATGTCTTACATAAGGTACATTCAAATATGCAACGCTGTTATCTTTTTGTGTTCAATATTATCAAGTATATATTTATTAATGGAATATGATATATTATAATAAGCTATTTAAAAGTAATATTAACCCTTCGTGGACAAAGATTCATTAAAATGTAAAGAACCTTCAGCAAATGAAGCTAAATTATATATTGATTGCTTATTTAATAGCAGAAAAGGAAACTACTTGCTGATCTGTTCCTGTTCGAGTAATTAAATCATTTGTTAGCGACTTAATCTTCCAAACGACATTTCATCTCCGCGAAATGTCGACATTCGTCCGCAAAGTGTTAATAATAAAATATTAATATGATTACCAATGCGATAGGCTGCTGGATTGGGACTGACAGAAATAGCACGAGAAATTCTGTCGTCCTATCCTTCCGTCGTGGAAGCGGTGGACAATGATGGAAAGACTCCATTGCATTATGCAGCCGCAGTAAAAGACGACGGAGAATTATACAATTTGTTAACGGAGTACGGGGCTGATGAAAGCAAATTGGACAATGTGAGAATTTAATACTTAAGTAAAATCTATTGACGAATTAATTTGAAAATGAAAGATTTAAAATAGCCAGCATTTGAATGATTAAAACTAGTCGATATCACTTTCAAAACATTCTATATAATTAGAGGAAAAAGGGTTCTGAAAAGAAAAGATCAATTAATTGAATTAAATAATTACGTATTTAATACCTGAAATATGCAAAATGTTTTATAGGTGTTAGTGGATTATCGATATATATCTTATTTATTTGTAATTAATTAATATTTTTATTCTCAACGCTATTTTTGTTAATTGTAAGTTTTAATGAATCTTTTTCTTAACCAGAGACAAAAAGCTGCAGCGTTCTATAAGAATCGACCTTCAGATATAGATCATGGACTCTTATCGGTTATACCGGAAGCTCCTCGAGTTTCCGGTACCACATACCCCAGACACTGGGATTGGAGGATCTTGGAAGCCGAAATTCCAAGAGGTATGAAGAAAGCCAACAGTGCAGACATTGACAGCGCGTTTGGAAGCGCTGAGTCTGCATCGAAGAAATATAGCAGATCAATGGAGCAGGTATCAGAAAATTGAATATTCTAGAATTACCTTCACTTTCTTAACAAAAACGATATTAATATAACACATTAATTAATATTAACACGAACAGAATAGATAAATTTTCATTCTTCAAAAATATATCAAAATTCTTCTGCTTCGTATTTAAAACATTCTATTCATACGCAAATCAGTTCGTCATATAGAAATACATCTACGTAAATTACATTCAAAGTAATATCAACCACAGAAGTGCACAAAATACGAATTTCCAAATCCACGAAACTAATATTAATTTCACAACAGATAAAACGATCAGAAGGCGAAGAACAGAAAGACCAAGAGGACTCGGCGGACGCAGAAGAGGCGGAGAACGAAGATGGCGCCGAGAAAGCTGAAGAACCCGCGGAGAACGAAGGTGAGCCAGAGAACCCAGAAAATCCAGAGAACGTAGAAGAACCTGAAAATCCCGACAATTCAGAGAACCCAGAAGCAGCTGAGAATCCAGAAGAAACGGATGAAGCGGGGAATGAGGAAAATCCAGAGGCTGCGGAGGAAGCGGAGGAAGCAAAAGAGGGCGAGGGCGAAGAGAAGAACGAAGAAGAAGCCGCGCAGGAAGCGGCGAAGGAGGACTCGGAGGGAAGGTCCTCGGACGACGATGTGGTGACAGGGATACCAACGGAGGAAACAGGAGAAACCAAAGAGGAAGAGGAGCCTGAGAACGCCGAGGAGGAAGCAGAGAAGGCCGAGGAGGAAGCAGAAAAGGCTGAAGAGGAAGCAGAGCCTGAAGCTGCAGAAGAGGCTAAGGAAACGACGGATGACGCGGATGGGACTAAGACAGAGGATGCCGAGCAAGAGGAGGAAAGTAAGGAACAGGAAGAGAGAAACGAGCCGAGCACGGGTGATTCAGGGGTCGATGATCCAGGAAACGACGAAGACCAGGTACAGTCGTCATAACACTTAAAACGAATCCAGTTTCAGGAACTCTATCGACTGGCACGCACACATAACAGTACACAGGGATAAAAATATTAATTGGATAGGTGCATTATGGTGTAAGTTAAGAGGGAACGCGACGGTGATAACTGAGAAGAATTGTTTTTCGAGATTTCTTATTTCGTTGTTCGTGGTTTCTTGGAAATTTATATTTGTAGGCTTTTGTGGATTCCTTTGGGTATCGTTGGAATAGTGTTTGTGAGAGTTTTTTGTGTCATATTTGGAGAGGATGTTAATTTTTTTTGGTTTATTCTATTTGTTCGGTGAGATAGGCGATTTTATTTTGAGGATTTGATTTCAAATATTTATTAACGATGGTTGAGTACGTATAGATAATTTCGGGGAATAAATTAAAGGATTCGTGTTTAAAGAAATAAGTTTGTAATTAGAAAGCCTAAGATTGTTGAAGTTAGGAATGGAAATAATTTTTTGACGTTCTCACCGTGATGTTCCTTCTTAACGAAAAAGTGAAAGGACTAAGGAGCTCATCTATCGAAACATCGAATCTAATTTGGTGAGTGACTGACAGTGATTACAAGTGTTAGGATGACTGTCCTTGTGAAATGGAAGAATATTATGCAGCATGTTCTTTGTGACGCACAAATATATCAATAAATAAATGACTGAACAAAAGACCTCTGTTATGTGACTTTTGAACAGTCCCATGAATTTGTAGGTAGATTGTAGAAAAGTTACACTGATCTTTTTATTTTCTATTTTTCGAAACTATAGTTTGATGCATAGTAAATTAGAGAAGTTTCATTCCCACTTATGATTATATTTCCTACGATATCAAAAATTCGAAAGTTGAACTTATGTTCATATTCTTCATTAGTTTTCTTTCAATTAACTATATCATGCTTTTATTAAAAACCAAAGGGAAACATTAAAATACAACAGTTCAGTTCACAACATTCAAATTAAACGTATCAATGTATATGAAATTTTTCAACCCATCATAACAAGATTCACTTCTAAATCCTTACAAAAAGAACTCAGAGACGTCTCACAAACGCTTTCAACCTTACAGGCTATCGTATTCATTATATTTCAGTTCTATTTCAACATTACGAAAAAATATAATTCTTCATCGATCGATTCTCACAAACTCCTCTAATCTCAATAACAACATCAACGTACTGTCTCAATGATAGCTTTGAAAAACAAACACAACCTCGTCTCAAAAGCAAAATCCCAAAGTACCATCGTCAACGGGAAAAAAACAGACCACCCTAAAAATACCCACGCACATTTCAACAAAAAAAAGAACAACGAATCGTCAGATCACGTGACAGATTCGATCGGTAGGGAACAAACGAGCGAGAGTATACACGCACCGGCACGCAATGTAGAGAGAAAAAGAAGACACGCCGAGCGATCGATTCGTTAGATTGCCACGTGCGATTAATACATATTTTCTCTATTGATCGGCACGTGCCTGCCCGAGTGGAGCGCGTGGTTTTCCACCTGTGCATGATCGGCAGGTGATCGTCGGCGAGCACGAGGAGCTTCCGGAGGCAGAGCTGAACGACGCAGGCATGACGGCGGACCCGGAAATCGAGAAGCTGCTGGAGAACGGGAACATGGAGCAGCTGGCAGCGTTGGTCCTCAACGGGGAAGGCAGGAGACTAGTCGGCCGGAACTCGGGGAATCCTGAACTCCAGGCTTTCATTGATCGCGTCCCTTCGTACATGGTATTACGTGTCATTCGTCATTTAGACAGAAAAAAAGACCGACGCGCTTCCTTCTTTCCACTCGCTCTCACCTTTGACAAGGTGTTACAACCACCTTCCGGCATGCGAATTATGGCAAATTATAGTTTTTGTCGGGAATCGATGATTGCTAGGTATTCTACATATTTATTTTTACGTCACTGTCTATTTTCCTTCCACTTTAATGAAGCGGCGTTACATTGAAACGGTTAGCGAATGGCTTCTCGCGTGATTACGAGGGGCTCGGTGAGCATTCTTGATTGGCGAGAGTGTGCGTTTAATGGTAGAACTCGTTGGGTAGTTTAAACCGACGTTGAATAATTTAGGGACGGTTGGTAGTCGACGTAAGGCTGTATTTGGTTAGCTGGATTATTATAGGTGGTATGTTTGACTTTGTGTGAACGCTGGGAGTGTTGATTGCGCAACTGTTTGTAATGTCTGAGTTGTAGGATTGGAAATATTTTCTTTGGGAATTTCGTGAAGTTCGTCTTTTTAATGTGGGAAATGTAGATTGTGCTTTAGTGAGATGTAGTGTTAATCGACAAATGATGTTAACATTCTTCATTATTTCAGGGAAAGATTCATGCTATACACATGGCAGCGAGAGAGGGAAATCTGAGGGATCTACAAAGTGCTTTGGACCGTCGCAAGTTTGCTGTCGCGAGGGATGGATCGTCTCCGCATGGTTCTACGCCGTTGCACGTTGCAGTTGTATTCGGGAACACTACTATTATTAGGTATTGTAAAATTTTACAATCATATAAATTACAGAAACATACAGTTTACTTCGTTTCTGAGTGGATGTCATGAACAGAAACATACAAAAGTTGCATTATGATAATCATAAATTCTGAGACAGAATCTAATCAATTTTACATAGCAATAGATCATAACAGCAGATAAGTACACAATATAGTGATATTCAAATGAATTATTCAAATGAATTATTATCGTCGAAGTAAAATGAAACGCTAAGTGAGTTCATTAAATTTGCAATGACAGTTGCTTTTACGAATATTTTACTTAAGTATACGTATAAGATTTTAGAAAATATACTAATGTCTTGTAATATAAAAATAATGGCTAGATTTTTGGTCTTTTACAACTATACTAGACTCGGATTATTAATAAATTAATTAGTGAAATAAGTTGTTGAACATCGGATATTCAACTTATCTTATTTGTCGACTTTATTGAGCAATTATTTTATTTGTTCTGATGAATTCTATAAGATTTGTTTAGAATGATTGAGGGTTTACGAAAAGAAGCAACGTCACCTTGGCAAACCCATCAAGGCTCATCGATTCCCATTCATTCTATTAATGTTTCACGTTTCCTTCAGATATCTGGCAGGGAGGTTTCCAGAAACCACAAACGCGATCGATCTAAATGGCCGAACGGCTTTACATTATGCGGCAACTCTTGCAGACAACGGCCATTACTACAACCTCTTGCTTCACTTGGGTGCCAATCCTTTGACTCAAGACAACGTAAGTACAATATTCTTATTATCGATTGCTCGTGGCAAGAAATTATCATTTCCAACAACATTAGTCATCCAGATTTCCAAAAAAGTAACTGGTTTTATTGAATCTCGCTTCAAACAATTTTCACTTAATCTTGAAAAATATTTAGTTTCCTATATTTCATGTAGTATTTTACTAATTACATATATTTAATTTAATTGTGTGGTACACTTTAACCCTTTGTGTTTTAAACGATTGTTCTACGTATTAAAAACTTAATGTTACAAAGATAATAATCTTGATGCAGAATCTCAAAGGGTTAAAAATGAAATAATATTTAACCTTGTTATTATGTTTGCAAACTTATTGTCCATGTGCTTACGTAGTTCGGGCAAAAGGCGGACTATTACAAGCAAGATCAGTCAGAATTATCGCATAAATCTTTGCTTCGCGATTTCGGAGCGAACGAGAAACTCGCCGACGAAATGTTGACTGACAAAGGTATTTCATTTAAACGTGACACTTACACGCACCATCGGTCACATTAGACGGAATTGTACGGTGATCGTTCAGAGCACTACCGAAACAATCACTGCGTTTCCTTCGTTACAAACCATGTATCCAAGTTCAAGTTATATTTACAGTACAATCACGTTGCTTTGTCACATTCAACCTCCATGTTGAAATTATCACACAGTCACGAATTCTAACGATCACGTTACAGCAAACCTCCCCAAAAAACTGTGCAAAGAAAAAACAGTAAATTAACTATTTGGAAACAATATTCACAGATATTACTTCATAATGTTAACTAAAACTACTGCAGACTATATCGAGACTACAACATTTTCAGTAATTAAAACTGACATAATTAACATCTTTTTTAATGAAACTCAGAAAATATTATTTAGATTACACTGAAACACAAAAAAGTAAGCTCACAGTTTTACCGTATTCAAACAACATTCGAACGAAAAACAGGTTTATCATTTTGTACATTGCTCTCCATATTTTTATCTCTCTACTATTATCCATCTATGTCTACTATAAGAAATATTAAGATCATCCTAATAACAGCACAAATTATTTGCAATTATTTTGAATAATTAAACATGATTCTATATCTTTCTTCTATAACTTCTTTACTATTTCAATATAATTCTCTGCTTATCAAACAATAAAACACTAACGAGATCCCAGCAGAGATCCAAAAATTGATAAGACACTTAGACTCAAAATATTACAAAGCTTC